TGAGGTAAGTGTCCCACACACCAACCATTAGATGCAGTTTCAATCAGAAATAATAAGACAGGTGTCCTTGAGCAACGCTTTCCCTTCTTCCTGAGGGTGAGGTAAGCGTCCTGCACACCGATCAGTGGCGTGCAAAACATATTAGGCAACACTTTCTCTTGTCCTCAGGAAAACCCCTAAGAAAAACATGGTAAGCAAACAAATTAACAAACAAATTAACAAGATAAGTGTCTTTGAACAGGGTAAGCATCCCAAAACAAGGATTTTTAGGACAAGATAAGCATCTTGGCTCCTTTCATGAGAAACAAGGTATTTTGTGAAAAACAAGTATACAAGTAATCAGTACAAAAAATAACACATTTATGCAGTTCACCCTCAGCACAATAATATTATGGGTGAATCATGAATGATGTATCTGAATCTCAGGATGATTAGTCCATACATGATCAGAATTAATCAATACCTCAAACTCCTCATATGTACAACAGTAACAGGAGGACAGTGATTAATTCTAGGCGACATAATTGTCCACAAATTCGTCCTAATACAGTTGGGATCAAGCATGGAAAGATTCAAATTAGATTCAGCATCCCTGTCATATACCAAATATCAAAGATTTAAAGCAAAAAAACATGTGGCATATTTCACTTAATTGAATTACTACAATTGTTATGATGAATTATTTAGAGAAAAAAGCCAAGTCTTTGAAGGAATTTTAAAATAAAATTATGCCCGGCATGCTAAAAGGTTGGGGCTGTGCATTGGCACAGTGGTTAGCATTGTTGTCTCACACTTCTGGGACCAGGGTTCAAGTCTTCTGATTGTGCATGTTCTCCCTGTAAATACATTTATATGTACTAGGACAACATGTAAGGCTTAAACAGCATACATAGAAAGATTATGGAATATGTTTCCATACACGCAATATGTATATGTTGTAGCAGCTTCTTATCGATCCGAATTCTCAGGGCAGATGTGCTCTTATTCTGAAGGCTTGTTTGACTTCCAGTCAGAGTTTTTTAGTATCTTGGCAGCAACTCTCTCTTCCAGTTTACTAATCAATAAAGACATTTCATCCCTTTCACGGGCTAAGCAACTGCCTCCTTTCTCTTTCCTCTTGCCACAATGTCTGAATGAGAGGCCAGGTTTCCATGCCCATTTTAATACCATAAACCTCTCTGTTCCAGGCAAATATCAACTTCTCAGTACACATCAGGTACCCCACTATATAGAAAAGGTGACATTGTCCTGGTCCAGACTAATTTACTGCTTTAAAAATCAGATGGAAATAAGGCATGTCATACTATAGTGCACTAAGGTCTGAATGAGAGGCCAGGTTTCCATGCCCATTTTAATACCATAAACCTCTCTGTGCCAGGCAAATATCAACTTCTCAGTACAGATCAGGTACCCAACTATATAGAAAAAGTGACATTGTCCTGGTCCAGACTGATTTAATGCTTTAAAAATCAGATGGAAACAAGACATGTCATACTATAGCGCACTAAGGTGTGAATGAGAGGACAGGTTTCCTGATTTTATTTGAGTGTTCAATTGTACCATATACAGTGAGGTCAATAAGTATTTGATCACCCTATGATTTTGCAAGTTCTCTTACTTAGAAATCATGGAGGGGTCTACTATTTTCAGCCTAGGTGCATTTCCACTGTGAGAGACAGAATCTAAAAATGTCAGGGATGCGGGTGGCTCGGGCACGGGAATGAGGCATAGTGCAGGCACCGAAAGGGCGGACGACCCACTTGCGGCTCCAGGAACAGAAAAGGGGTTTATTAAAGAAAACGGAAAACACTACAAACGACTAACCAAAAACAAAGGACCACGAGGGGTCAAAAAGTAAAAAGGGATTAAATAACAAAACCCAAATACACATTGACCACTAAAAATCTCAAAACCATTACAACACATACAGAACACATCATAGACACAATAATGAACCACTGGGGAACTGAACAGAAACAGGAACTAAAATACTAAAGGGGTAACGAGACTAACACAGGACAGGTGAGACTAATTAACAAAGACCAGGGAAACAGAGCACAGGTGAAACTAATAAACTCAAAGGAACTAAAAAACAGGGAAACTAAGAACTAACCAAGGAAACATAAACCAGCACTAGGGAACTAAACAGGTAAAGACACAAGCAGGGGCACAAGGAACAAAACCAAAACCAACTACAAAATCAGACACAAGGATTTACGAAACTCAAATGAAACACTAGGGAGCAAAACACAAAAACAGAGGAGGCGGGATTCAAACTCAGGACAGAAGGGTACACAGACAACCACATGCTCAACACATTGAGCCACATGACCAGACAGGTAACAGGGGAGAACAAAGACTAACATGAAGGACGGGATGACCAGCAATGCCTGCTGGTCAAACGGGGAAGGGACACGGTAGGACCACAGCAGGGGCTGACCCTGACAAAAAAGAAAAATCCGGAAATCACATTGTATGATTTTTTAACAATTTATTTGTGAATTACTGTGTCAAATAAGTATTTGATCACTTGCATATCAGCCAGATTTCTGACCCTCAAAGACCTGTTATTTTGCTTTTAAATAGTCCAGCTACACTCTGCTCATGATTCTAAATTAGTAGCACCTGTTTGAGGTCGTTAGCTGTCATAAAAACACCTGTGCACCCCACAATCAGCCAAAGTCTAAGTAGCAACATGGGCAAAACCAAAGAGCTGTCAAAAGACACAAGAGACAAAATTGTAGACCTTTACAAAGTTGGAAAGGGCTACGGGGCGATTGTCAAGCAGCTTGGTGAAAAAAGAACAACTGTTGGAGCAATTGTCAAAAAATGGAAGAGGCTAATGATGACTGTCAATGTCCCTCGGACTGGGGCCCCAAGGAAGATCTCTCCTCGTGGGGTTTCAATGATGCTAAGAATGGTGAAGAATCAGCCCAGAGCTACATGGGAGGAGCTGGTCAATGCTGTGAAGAGAGCTGGGACCATCGTTTCCAAGGCTACTATCAGTAATACACTAAGACGTCATGGTTTAAAATCTTGCATCGCACGGAAGGTTCCCCTGCTTAAGTCAGCCCATGTCCAGGCCCGTCTGAAGTTTGCCAGGGACCATCTGGATGATCCAGAGGAGTCATGGGAGAAAGTCTTGTGGTCAGATGAGACCAAAGTAGAACTTTTTGGTCTTAACTCCATTTGCCGTGTTTGGAGGAAGAAGAATGATGAGTATCATCCCAATAATACCATACTTACAGTGAAGCATGGGGCTGGAAGCATCATGCTCTGGGGATGTTTTTCTGTACAGGGGACAGGACGACTGCACTGTATTTAGGAGAGGATGAACGGGGCCATGTATTTTGACATGGGCAAAAACCTCCTTCCCTCAGTCAGAGCATTAAAGATGGGTCGTGGCTGGGTCTTCCAACATGACAATGACCCAAAGCACACAGCCAGGAAAGCCAAGGAGTGGCTCCGTAAGAAGCATATGAAGGTTCTGGAGTGGCCTAGCCAGTCTCCAGACCTAAATCCAATAGAAAATCTTTGGAGGGAACTGAAACTCTGTGTTGCTCAGCGACAGCCCCAAAACCTGACAGATCTAGAGAAACCTGGTGTGCAAACCTGGTGAAGAACTCAAGGAACCGTTTGACCTCTGTAACTGTTAACAAAGGCTTCTGTACCAAATATTATTATTTTTTGACTCAAGTGATCAAATACTTATTTGACACAGTAATTCACAAATAAATTGTTTAAAAATCATACAATGTGATTTCTGGATTTTTCTTTTTAGATTCTGTCTCTCACAGTGGAAATGCACCTATGCTGAAAATTGTAGACCCCTCCATGATTTCTAAGTAAGAGAACTTGCAAAATCACAGGGTGATCAAATACTTATTGACCTCACTGTATATATTTTTTTATAACATTACTATTTAAGACAGTGAAGTTAACTAAACTTTGAAGCAGATTACTTACATTACTCAAAAAGGTTAAATTACAACTTAAAAATATACTTAAAATGCAAGTATCTGAAACACTTAATTCCAGTACTGTGAGTAGTTCTAATTCATTACATCCACTCCCTATACACAGAAAAAAATATTTGGGTCATTTTTTCAACTCATACAATTAAATTATAAGATTAAATTATTCGTTTCCATCAAACTAAACTGTATAAATACAAATAATAGTATGAGGTACAAAGAAAAATGTGCAATTCTTAGAGTGAATTACAAGCTTAGATGTATGATGTGCAAGAAACCAATTCAAATACAGGCAGATTGTACAGTATTCGTGGAAGGCGTGGAGCATCGTGGTTTTAAGTTAGGTGGCTGCACAGCTTTTAAGGGAAGAAACTCTTTCTGCTACTGATTTGAGGTGCATCTTCCGGATCTCAGCCACCCAAATAAACAGTAAAAGAGGTGGACAAAACAAACATAATTTAAACTAAGACCACACTTATGGTCCCAGTCCTAGCTTCTGCAGTCTTTCCAGATCCCATTGTTCTCCAATTTCTTTGCATTGCCTGCCCCTTGGTGCTCACAGCCTATCAGGTCTAAATGAGCCTCCAACTTAGCTTATTTACAAAACTCACTCCCTGTACAATGCCCCTCCGTCTTTCCGATAACTCCTGATGCCATTCCCTGGAACCATTACAATTCCGTGTGTACTTAGTGGTATATAATCAGAAGGAGTCACTGAATGTTTGCTGTTGTAAATGGTGCACCCTTTGCTTATGCCAAGGCAATCCTTCATCTACCACTGAGGATACAGAGGTCATGTCTTCCATATTTTTCTGCATTTTATCACTGAAATTATTTTTCAGAATGAAAATTGCTGCTCTCAAAAATAAGTTAAAATTCACAATCACTAAAAACTATCGTCTTTTAAAAAAATCATGCCTCCATTAGGAAGGGCTAACACTTTCGACCTCGGTATTTTAGAAGTCCTGGCTACGGCCCTATGTAAAAGCTACTGTAGTTATATCAACCCCCCGCCCCCACCCACACCCCCCGCCACCTTTTTGAAAGTGAAACCAAAACGTAGATACTGCAGGATTTCTACGCAAAACACGGTAGGCTACAATTTAGACTAAAACATATTAAACAGCCGAGTATTCGCTCTTATGACTTCCCTACCTAAATAGCGCAGTCTGTTTCTAAATATGAGCAAAATGTCTGCCCGTCTTATCGGTATATCATCTGCTTTTCATTACGCCTGGCTGTTCACATGGCGTACGGAATAGCCATGTTTAAAAATATTCGGACTGGAAGCAAATATTGAGAAATAAAATGCAGCAAGCTATTCACACTGGGACAGGGTCCGGACCCCCCCGAACCAGACGTATAAGCGGTTTGGAAAATGGATGGATTTTTATAAACTGAATCAGTGCTTAAGTGAACGTAAGAATGAAGGAAACGCGGTTGAAGTAGCTATAAATAAATTAATTCAACTTGGGATTCCCTGTTTATTACTGCTTTTTCTGACCCACAAAGGTGATGGCGTCGTATATGCTGGCAGTTCTCCTTTTCCAGCAGTTTATCGCCGTTTTCGGTGAGTGCGTCGCAGCAGATATGCCTATCAATGCCCGTCAAACGTCTGCCCAGTATGTGATATCATGTCTGTTGCGGTCTGTTACAATAACCGCTGTTCGCGTTTTTTGTTTATGATTTTTGTTATATGAGTGCTGATGTCCCTTCGTAAAGCAGAAAAGCTTTCTTTGTCTTTCTTTTTCTTTTTTTTCAGGGTGGCCAGCTTTGGCGCGCTTGCTGGCGCCAGTCTGCACACACATGCACACTTATTTATATACATGTAGCGCCGGCGGGGCGCATGCCCCGCGTGTAATTGTAAATAGCCCTTGTTGTGCTGTTGTTGTTTGTTGTCAATGTTAATGGTTGCATGTCCCTATTGTCGTGCGTGTGTTTGCCCGTGTCTGATCCTCGCGTGTATTTGGCTTGTGTAAATCTCCCAACGTGTGTGCATCGTACAGTTCGGTGTCTGACAACCTTGTATTTCCCATCTCTGTAATGGGTTCTGGGCTCGTTGGGTGCCTGTTGTAGTCCTTTTAAGGAGTACTAAAAGAGAGCGTGTTTTCCCCGACAAGCAAGTCTCTTTGTTCCTCTCTGCTTCCGTGATGACAAAGTCTGCCCGGCGCTACAATCATGTAACAGTTTTAATACCTTCTAAATTGCCCCTAGGGTTTCCTGCGTTATGCTACGTTCACACCGCGAGCGTCAAAGACGCCAGCCGTCGCTCCCGCCGCCCTGAACGCGACGCGCCGCGCCGCGCTGCTCCTCGACGCCTCCCGACGCTCCCTCCCATAGAGAATGAATGACTTCCGGTCGCTTTGACGCT